TGGCTGGGCTGCAGGGCATGAGGAGGGCTGCTCATCTCTCCCCGGAGTTGGAAGGTGCCAAGAGGCCTGTGTGGATGGGGGGTGGCTCCCTCTCATGGCCCTCAAGGAAGTGACCTGACCCCCAGCTCTGTGAGCTTCCCCCCTCCCCAGGCTCTGCTCTTTGCCCCCTTTCTTGCTGGGTAGCCACCTGGGGGCTTGTGAGTGAGAAGGGCCCAAGTGTCTCCCAGACCCACCCCTCATCGTGCATTTCAGCGGTGCCAAGAGGCCTGTGTGGATGGGGGGTGGCTCCCTCTCATGGCCCTCAAGGAAGTGACCTGACCCCCAGCTCTGTGAGCTTCCCCCCTCCCCAGGCTCTGCTCTTTGCCCCCTTTCTTGCTGGGTAGCCACCTGGGGGCTTGTGAGTGAGAAGGGCCCAAGTGTCTCCCAGACCCACCCCTCATCGTGCATTTCAGCTGCCATCGCACCTGGGCACCTCTCCCTGGTTAGCGTCTTTAGCCTCCTGAGAGGGTATTGTACAGATGGAGAAACTGAGGCACAGCGTGGCTACACGACTGCCCTCTGTGACAGAGCAAGGCTCCTAAGTCCTGGGTTAGGCCCTAACCACTGAGCCAGCCTGCCACCCTCCCAGCCTCCTCATCTGCCCCTGGCAGGGCTGATCTCTCCTGTGGGACATGGGTGCAGTTCTCTGGTCTGCGCCAGGCGACGTCAGGGTCCCTCTGGGCGTGAACCCCCCAGAGACCATCCCCTCCGGGTAACGGGCCCATCTACCCCGGTGTCCCGGCTCCAGCAGCAGCCTGTCCCCTCTGCTGAATCCCAGCCTGGCTCCCAGGGCAGGTACCTTTAACGCCTCTTCCGGCTGCGTTCCTGCCCTGGGGAGGGGGCAGGAATTGGTGCTTTGGGAGGGGGGGTTGCTGGCTGGGATGAACGGGGGGAGGGCTGACGCTGAATTTGGTACAGCGCCACCAGGTGGTGGCAAACGAAAAGGGAGTCGCCCAACATCTTCCAGTAGCGCAGGAGCAGCAGCAGATCTGGAGGGGAGACACACAAAGCCGAGGGGCCGGTCAGTGCGCCAGGGCACCCAGCAGGGGGCACTGTGCCCCACTGAGCAATGGGGAGAGCTCCCCTCCCCAAGCTCCACCCCCGCGCCTCTCAGAACAGGGCCCGTAGCCCCAGGTGCGTCCCCGCAAGGGGCCTGAAGTAGTTCACTGGGAGACCCCCACCCGGGAGACCCCCGCCCAGGCTGGGCACCTGGATTTCCCCTGCTGCTCCCTGGGGTCCCCCTTGGGTGAGGTTCCAGAGTCCAGCCCCACTGCCCTGGCGCCAAAGCCTGGCCCTGCCCGGCAGCTCCCCCCCACCCCCATGGCACCTGGTGGCTCCTTCCATTGGCAAAGGGGAAAGCCACCGGAATGGAATGCAGCCACGGGTTCC